AAACGTCCTTTTTTGTTCCGGACAATAATGCGACGATAAAAGGACAACCTTGACGGCATATCTTTAGAATTGTAACGACGCCCCGATCCCTGTCTGTACTCTCATCTCGCCTTACCTGTCCTATCATTACCTGTTCCACCTGCCCACCTGCGCGCACCTGATCTTATCTCTTGTTTGTTATTGTTGCAGGAGAGTTGGTATCGGAAGAAGCGCATCTTCAAAGTGCGAGTAAAGTGCAAGTTTGGCCGGACCGGTAAACCTGTCCTCGTCTCTAAACTTCGCCCGCCTTTATGTACAGACCTCCCTTTTCAACAGTAGCGACTTTGTAAGTGGTGTGCGTTAAAAACTATAATTCCCGGTCGCCTTCTGTCCTATTGTGATCGAGATTATCTGCAGATCTCTGGAGGGATTTTTCTGACCTACAACTACACGCTTCGCGGCTTAGGATGTCGTGTCGGGAGACGACCGACGAGACTTTGATGTTCCTGTGCGGAGGTGAGCCTGGGTCAATTGGTTTCCATGTCGCCGATCGGATGGATTACATTCGCCCCGAGGTGGGAATCAAACTTGGGATCACAAGAAATGAGATCCCCCGTACAGCAGACGCGCACGGCCAGGCCGTGCCCTGCTTATAGCCCAGAGACGGTCTCACAAATCCTCGTCGCCGGGCTCAGAAAGCGAAAACAAAGCCTTGGCTTTCTTAAACAAACAAGCTAGCAGTCTGAAACGCCCTGTAATTGTTTACACATAGCCTAGATGCCGTGTAAGCCACAGTACGACGTGTAAAGGCCTGACGACTGTCACTAGACGTTATCTACCCACCATCCGTGCCCGGGGAACGATTAACAAACTGTTTAGTCAACAACCAAGCGGGGCAGGGAAACCCGCCAGCACGGCTCAGCCAAGGTGAGCTGAGGAGGGAGAATCTGTGGGTTCTGTTGCTCGGGAAGGACATCAAGCGTTGTGGTTTCTATTTCTGGAGCTTGGAAGAGAATCGGAAGCATAAATGTCTATTGACGAGGGTAGAGTCTGCTAGTGTCTACACATCACTGACAAGACTGTTTCTCTCGCATCTCTCTCCCCCCACCAGTACAGTTCAACTTTTCCATTTTTTCTGGCAGGAGCTGGCGGGGAGGCCCTGACCGGGTGCCAGCGGCAGCCGTGGGCCGTGTCCGGCGCCGCGGGGGCCCGTAGACGCGGGAACACCTGCACGCCTCCCCCTGCCCAGTCCGCTTCCCGCCTGCGCCACTATTTATATGGAAAGCGACGGGCAGAGGCGAGACGAATCCTACTTTGTCATGACAATCGGGCCAGCCCAAAGAGAACCCCATGCATGATCCTGCGCGAATTCAAATGTTCTTATTACGCCCAATTTGGCCTCTGTTGAAAATAAAAAGTGCGCCGCAAGATCAGAGTCAAACCTTGAGTAGATAATAGAGCTTAGAGAACGTCACTCCCAGAGCAGAGCTCACAGGGCAAGAATAGACGGAACACCGCGGCATTCTGCGCCGGTAGCGCCCGTGGCGGTGCGGAACAGCGCTGCCAATATCTGCCACCAAATTACGCCACTGTAATAGCCCACAGAAGAAAGGGCCCTGCGACCCTTACCTAATCACGGGGCTTGTCACACGGCTGTCTTCTAACCAGAAAGACGACTCAACCCGTCAGGGCAAACCGGCACGGTCTCGTCATACCTTCGGCTCACTAGGTCTGGTCTAGCCGATACCGTCCGTGTGACATATCGGTGGTCTAGTCGGTAGTTCTCTTCAGTACTTAGCGAGATATTCCAGTATCGCGCAAGTCGACTATAAACCATGCTGAGTTATCACAACAGATAGAGTACAGGCTCGGGCGAAGTGATTACATAGAAGTGCACTTGGGGCTAAATATTAAATAGGAAGTGGCTCAACAAAAAGGTACAAAACCGCGCTCGAGGCGCGACGGCCCCAGCCTGAGTCAGTCGTCCTCCGCCCGTCCCTGTCATGTCACAGCGCACAGGGAACCGGACAGAACTCCGGCGTGTTACGGGCACGGTGTGCGTCTCTGAACACGCCGTATTGAAATAACCCAATAAGAAAAGCTTGTTTTGTGCGCAGAGTGGATAGATAAAGCTATCAGACCCCGTGTTATAACGATACTAGCAGACAGACTGGGACGGAAGATTCACTCACCACCACCCGGGCGAACCCACGCTGACGTCCGCCGTCTGAGACCAAATGACGAACAGGAGCAAGACCGACACCTGGCACCGTACCGTATCCATGACGCGATCGGGAGTACTTCCAATGGGATGCCGAAAAACCTGCTCGGTCGACACGGTAGCTCACTCACTCGCGCCCGGCTGCGGTCAAACCTCCGATAATAGCGCCACTCAAGAATGCCTCCAAAAGTTAAAGCAGCGAAAATGAGGGAGGCCCCCCGCAGGCCTCGGGATTGGCTGTCCCGCGGGAGGACTGGCCAATCAGAAGGGAGGGTTTCCCCGCCACGGGGCATCTACAAATCGGTAAGCATGTCGTGTCAATCACGGCTGCCACCCAGGCTCAGTTCGGCCTTTAAATCGATACCAACCCTCGCTCATGCAGACTTCCCATCCACCACAACCCCCGCGCCTTTCCTCCCGTTCAAGTGGAAACACACAAACAGAGACCACAACAGCGACCCCCGTCCGAGCCGCCGGCGCGCTGGGGACGGGATTAGCCTCTAAAACCTTTCCAAATATTACAGTCGATTGCGGATAATCCTTACAAAAACCACAAACGACGAGCCCCCCGTGTGTGCGATACTTTACAGCCTATAGAACCAGTTCATAGCAGCTCCATAAACCATGTACGAGTTGATGTGCGGCCCATAAAGATGGTATCGGGGTGAGAGTTTTGCACAAGAATCTGACGGCCCGTCGGAACTGTCCCGCCCTCAGGACGGCCCTTTATGTTGTCCCGTCTTGTACCTAGTTCACACCTGTCTGAGAAGGTCTCCGTTCGCACCTCTTCCATTCAGGTGAGTTTGTCCGATAGCACCGCGTCGTTGCGCTGGAGTCATCGGGCCTGGGTCCTTTGTTGGTCCGTCTGCGGCCTTGCATGAGAATGGAGCCGTTCACACCAGCCCGGTTTTGCATAGCACTCTTATCATCACAAATCAAGCCATAAAACAGTTGTCAGCCTGGCTCTAAGTGGGGACAATTGTCGACGTCTCAACACAAATGCAAGTAGTCATAAAATCTAGTCAAATCTCACTGGAAAGTCGATTTACAGCCAATTAACACATAATTGTACTATTACTGAAAAGGGTACATATCATTTCTTTGAAATTACGTTTTTTAGCGTAATTATGACAATGACACGTAAGTTGTTTTATAGACCGTTTTTTCCTCAACCCATTTCTCCAACGTCAAAGTTTGACTTTTGAGACTACTTTTTTTCGGTGAAAGCCAACTTGGGTTTCTGTCTGTTTTGAGTGAAGATTGTTGAGTATCAGTTGTGAAGAAGTCACATGCACGTTGTTCAGACTACTGTATGTAAAGTTGGGTGGTCTTTGTTTCCACACCACAACCGTCACTAATACGAACCCCTCACAGCTCCCGGGTTTACCCGAACTGTCCCGATAGCGATCTCCCAGCCCAGGCCACTGTTGATGATTCGCGCTGTTTGGGTGTTTATATCACACACAATGCGTACTTCAGCCCTCTGTTTATGTTTAATTACATATTTATAAGAACCCTGTTTCGCCAAGTCCCCGGTGACTACAGTTCTATTGAATGGGTCTGAATTAGTTTGTTTGGTGGACTTTTCAACTCCTTTTCCCCGGGCCCATGGTTATTGTGGCGGGAAGAATGGGATGGGGACAGATTAGAACGGATCATTTCTCCGGTAAAATGCCGGGTAGCAGCCCGCCAGGGTCCCCGCGTAGCCAGGCGTTATTATCGGGGTGAGACCGCTGCAGTGTGCTGTATTGGACGGCCATTTCTCCCGCAGAGATCGGCACATTTCACATTCCGTCCCGCCACCCTGCTGGTCACAGGACCGTAAAAGTTTTTTTAAGGTTTATGTCCAACTATCAACGGTCACCTCGCTATGATACTTCGATCCTTGATAGGACAGAGCAAGGGCATTGTATAATGTCCTTGGACAGAGGAAATGGATAGTTATAGTCAAGTTCTGTGGAAAGGTAGTTCCTTATTGAAAAAATACTAGTACATGGCCCATGCCGTAATCTTCAAGCAGATGCATGGCTTCGTCCTGTTCCCAAGCGTCTTTTCCAGCGTTCTTCAGGCTTTCAAAGTGCCCAAACAGCTTGAAGCCGCACGTCTGCTTGGAGATTAGTATTGAGAAACGGCGTTGTTATGGTATCCAAAAATGCAATCCTCTTACAGCGCATAATCCGCTGTGATATTGATGTAACTAACAGGCGATCACAGCAATAGACTTATCCAATTTCTTTTGACATTTTTGATGTTACAATTTTTATTTAGTTTTGGGTTTGGAGGGGAATTTATGGTTATTACAAGGTTTACATGGCATTTCCTATTTGGTGATCTTCGGTAAAATTCGGCGATCTTCGTGGTGGTGACGTGAGGTCTCGGCTCCGATCGGGACAAATCGTGTGGCTGATGACAGGGCGATTACATTTATATTGGCCTAGGTGGACATGATATAGATTGTGGATGCTTGATAGAAGTACGTGGAATATTTCTGTACTTGTCTCAGGTAATACATGTGCTGTAAAGGATTTGTTTTGAATTGGCAAAAGGTAATTCTCCATATCACTCCCACACTTGTCGTCAGGTCAGGTGATTAACTTTAATCTGGGACTACTTGACTCCAGGCGGTCCTTCCCTACCTGTGAGACAGGACGATCAGGCGTTAGACAGAGTTACAAGTCTGACTGTCTGTTTCTGTTTGTTTAAATCTTTGTGTATTCATGAGAAGTTCAGATCGGCCAGCAGGTCACTTTTGTACCTGTTTCAACCTTCTAGAAGTTCTGTTCAGGACATGTAACGTTACGTACAGACGGGAGCACCTGTGATGACTCAAACATGATTAGAAGACATGGAGACGATCTGTAAGACCAGACATAATTGACTTTAATTGTTCTCAATTTTCGCGCTCACTTGAGTGGAAATTCAAATTGAAAATAACAATTTGTCACAGGTACGTTTCTACCTACCGTCGGCGAACTTTGAACAAGGTGAAAAAAGAGAGCTGGTATACCTATGACAAAAACTCATTCTAATAAAACTTACAATTGTTTCCGATGTTATTGTCTTTCAACTTGCAGTGTTATTGTCTTCAAACCAAGACTACAAGTTGATCACACCTTGCTGGCTCTTTAACACCCGCAGAATCTCAAATATGTTCTGTACGTCGCCAGATGAAATGAATCAGACACTTTGACCCTGTTCATACCAGACTTATATTTAGCGGTTTCAACCGGTTTTTCAAAAACCGGTTTTTATTTAACCTGGTGTGAACGCAAATTAACCGGTTTTTTAGGGGTTTAAATCCGATTTTGAAAAACCACCTCGGGAGGTGGTTTTTGAGGGGTTTTTGTGGGGTTTTTCCACCAAAAAACCTGGTCTGAACGCTAAGGGTTTATTGAACCGGTTTTTTGCGTCATAATTCCGGGGTCACGGGGTCAGCATCCTGGCCGTGTGCGACCTGCAAGCTTTTTTGAGCGCGTTGTTTTGACCAACTTGAGTTGGTTTCCACTGTTTTTCCACGGTTTTTCTTCATTTTGCGATGGAATCAGCAAACGCAACCTGGTCGGCGAACGGGACGCTCCTGATACTTAGGTTGAAGAGCAGGAGTCGCCAAATTCGAAAAAGCTAGGGGGGGGCGAGGGCTCTACCGAAACAAAAATGTTGGAGGAGGCTGATTTCTTGAAGATAAAGGATCAGTGCCGCACTAAGGTAAAAAAAAACTAGAAGACGGCATACAAGCAAGAAGGCCAAGGAAAACAATCAGAAGAGCGAGAGGAACGGTTATTCAAACTGCAGTCATGGCCGATTAATTGGATATTCACCGGACAGGATTTTTACAAAACCGGTTATCAAAAGTCTGGTATGAACGCTAAGGGTTTTAGCCGGGTTTTTGAACAACCGGTTGAAACCGCTAAATATAAGTCTGGTATGAACAGGGTCTTTGATGTGGTTTGTCCGCCCCCCTCCCCTAACCACTTCACAGAACAGCCGCACGTGTGACGTCACAGGACAGGTATCTGACGTGACGTGACGTGAGGATGGGTGACGTCCTGTGTGCGGGGTGCGGCCGGGTTGGGACGCGTTATGTCGTCTGTGAGTCGGGCACAGTGAAAGCCTAAAAACACGCTGAAAATACCCCCAAAACCCAAACCTCTGCTTGGAGAGTATCATCCCAGCGCTGAGAGTAACTCACACATGTATACAAGACGAAGAAAAAGCATAGGTCGCATAAAATTGAGTGAATAACACATAAATTCAAAGTCTACTGTGTAGTCAAGTTGTTGTTCCATGATGATGTTGTTACAGTTGTACGACAAGACAAGTCTACATCTGAAGCTAAATATTCCACTGGCTCGAGAAGTGACCTCATATTCCGGACCAACCATCAACATCCGGGACCTCCTGCCGAGAAAATTAGCCCCATCTTTTCTTCTGACATGTACACAAACTAAATAGTTGTCACACAGGTGGGAGGATGACAACCCGGCACTATTGTTATATTACATGGACATAGGAACATAGAGGTATGACAGAGGTAATATGAAAGAAATGGTACAAATGGCAGAGTGGGAAAGACACATGAAAATAGGAAAGAAAAATACATGTATATTTCTCTTGTTTGACAACCAACTCAAGTCCAAGTAGAACTTTCATGCAAGTAGTATCAAAAGGCCAGTTTCACAAAAGAACGAACAAACAACAAAAACAAGTGAAAATAGTGACTGTTAATAAACGTCAAAGCTTGAAGAAAAAGAGTTATGAAAGTCCTCTGATGTCAGTTTAATATGCCCCTGGTATTTCTGGGTTTCGCTCTCTGAAAACAAACTGAGAAAGTTTTCCACGGAATGTTATTTTCCCGGTAATTGACAGACATCCGTCTGTTTTGTAAATAATAAAACTATTTTTGACCTGTCCGATGCCATCGCTTCTCTCGTGTGGACTAGATAGGATGTCATCCCGGCTTTTGTGTTATTTATAAGAATGTGCAGAAAAATGGGGTCAGCTGAGGGAGAGGCGGAGCTGTGATGTCCATCAGGAGTAGACAACAACAATAGGAGCGACGTTCATTTGTCTTGTCTTACCTGTGACAAAACACAGGTGCCCATCAAGTTATGTGCACTGTCCTGAGCAATGGGACCTCACATACTAGCTGAGAGGGAAAACTGTTTAAAGGACGGGGTCCTATGTTCAACAGTGATAAAAAAATCTATAGTACTAGTAACTTTAGTTTGAGACATACTTTCAAAGAACATCGTAACGTTATATCTTCGTATGTCGGAAAGTGATCCCGTTTTGCCGTAGGCATCGCGGAAACGGGTCATTGGAGGACAAGCTATTAAAGATCATTAGTCATGTTTTCTTCCGTACTGTGATGATTCATATAACATGAAGTAAGCTGAATGGTAGTAGTATATGATCACACGACACGCTGCTCATGTTATGCTTTTGTTTTTCGAGTTTTTACGAAAAATTTCAGAAATGTTCTCATATTGCGAAAAATTGAGCTTTCATCAGTGGTTGAACTTTCTTCATGAAGTTTCTGTCAGGTTCGCTGGGGGCGCTGTAGCACGGGAACAAATGGGATTCTCGACCCAAGGATAGAAGTACACTGCAACTGTTGACATGCAAGCTGACAGAAAAATTGTTCGTATCTCAAATGAAACGGAGAGGCGAATAATGGCATGCAGTGCGAGTACAATACTCTGCCCACTCAAGTAAAATACATATGTACTAAGCATTCTACGTTTTGTATTGCGAAAAAAAAGCGACTGAGCAAAATGCAACAACAACAGTAGACACTTTGACAGAAATTTTGACATTCCAACCAAGCCTCCAACAGACAAGAGGAAACACTTGTGAACCTCAGGAATGACGAGCCGACAGGTAAAATCCCAGGCTCTAGAAGATAAATGACCGTCTCTGATCTGGGACGTCCGCAATTATATACTACATTGTCATTCCTGTCTGTGGGCAGGACAACCCGGAAGTCTTACAGCATTCCACCAACTGTTGGGCCCTGACATCCCAGAATAGGATCAATGTCTAACAATGGAATGTCGAGGATGGGAATTTTCTTTATGTAATGACAGACCTTCAAGGTATGGAAAATTCGTGAGATAGCGTATTATTTGAACTCTATGTATCAGTAACATGTTACGACTTTCTATCTGTCTGTGAAATTGCTTTGATTATTTTCTATCAAAGCTCCCATTTAAAGCTGTTAAATCTATAAAGGCTGCACTTAATATGACAAATTCCCATTCGCATTTGTACGTATCATACTTAATATGATTTAGGCTCAGAAACATTATCAAATTCCAGTCGACAGAACATTATAATACATTGTATCAATCTCATCCCGTGTGATTGAGCACACTGACAGTCATCTTCGGCGACGAAGGAATACATTGTATCAATCTTTGTCCTTGATAATAATTGTATTAATGCTGAGAATTTTGATAATGCCGAGAATCACTCAATCTCTCACCATGGAGGTATATATCTCTGTTATAGCTCCATGATCTCGTAAAATATTACAACATTTGAAATTGAACATAACTTCAGGAATGCCTTCATATCTTCCGCCTTTTTTATCACCGACATCTGCGGGATAGAACAGGTGTTAATTTACGCTTTAAGGTTTTATAGCCGCAAGTCACGGGTTAATAATGGCAGAGCACACGTCCCAGGGGTCATTATTACAAGGTCATGGATGTGACCTTCACATAACAGAGGGTGTTATTAGAATTCCTATCTGGTTGTAGGTGGTTATTGCCTCACCAGGTGTTGATAGGCATCATAGATTCATTAACTAGTTTCTGTTACCTTGGATATAATTAACGTAGTCTTTGATACCTGGAGTCCTATATAGCGGTGTGATTCATATATAGTAGTCTGCTTCATTCGGTTTGCGGTTTAAAAGTTAAAATCGTAAAACTTTTGCTGGAAAATAGGAATCCAGAAACTTGCAATTGCGGTAGGAATTAGACCAAGCTGCCAGACCGTCGCAAAGGTTAGAGTCAGCAAATTTAAACTCACACGGCAATAACTTATTGATAAATTCGCCTGAATGCTAATGAAGTCGTAGCGTCAAATTGACAATTAACCATGACACAAAAGCTACCTTTGTGATTTTGTGGTGATGAAGGCAGCTGACTTCCTGTAGAGTTCGGGAGGTTACAACCCTTGACATGCACACGCAGTTGTGTGGAAAACTCATCACACTTACATCTCACACTGTTGGATTGAACGTTCCACACAAAGACTCACCTTTGTGTGGGAGTGTCAGGTGTAATGAGGCAATTTACTGCGGCGCTATTTCGGTAACAAAAGGGAACAGTGTTGGTACGAACGGCCTGGGGTATGCAGCACGCACAGCACTAACTAACCAGGCGGGGAATGTTAAACCTGTCCCCCGGCATGGGCGACAGAGGGACCTTTCTGAACAAAACGTCGTGACACACTCACAAAACAAACACTGACACTCAAACTTGTACCTCAACCAATACTATAGGAAGTTATTATTTGGCTATACACTATGTGGATATATCTCATGTGGAAGTCATAATAAGTGGTTAACCAGTGGAACAGTTTGCGGAGAGACGACCAACCTCACGAAAAAAAAGGGTAATAAATAAGAGATAACCTTTGATCTGACAGATATGCTGGTTTGTGTTATATTTCATACCCTTGAGTTGTGTATAAAGGTGACTTTTAGATACTGATCTGGGATATGGACCATTGCCCGTAGGGTACGCGTGATTCTGAAGTTATCAGAAGAGAAATGTGTCTGATAATTTGACTCAGATATCCCTGAAGTTATCATGATGTAAAGTGTAAACATAGCTGCCACCATTCACCAAAAATTCCAAACGTATTGCAGTAGCTTTAATTTTATTTGCCTACAGTCCTAGGCATAGATAAGTCCAAGAACAAGTAGAGAAATACCATTATACGTGAATAATATGGAGATTAATAGGGATACAGTGTACGCTGCAGTGACGTGATTAAACTGCAGGTGGCGCTGTTGTCTATGTGTGCTTGGTTGCCCCGAAATGAGGACAGAATAACCATGGAAAATTACAAGACGGTAACTAAGAGGAAAATGACATAACAGCCTGTTAGATTGTAAGTATTTTACCTTTAAGTGTGTGTCTTATTAGTTCTATTATTAGATTACAACAGTTTCTATTTTGGAGGCACCTCGGCATGCAAGACTCTTACCCAACAAAGGTGGACGGAAATTCTATTATCCAGCATAATCCAGGTTTCACCCTGGAAAATTGTCTGGTGGGTGGGGAAAGAGACAGACAGAGATAGACAGACGGACAGACAGACAGAGACAGACAGAGAGACAGAAAGAGATGGGCACATGCAGAGAGAAAGAGACAGAAAGACAGAAAATGATACCTCTAAGTTCAGAAGCGTCTGGGAAGAGTAAAAATTGGCAATAGACAGATAACATGCCAGGTGAGTAGGTCCGCTAAACTTGAAAGGTTCGGATTTTGGGGTGACAAATTGTACTCCTATAAGTCGGCATGTTATTTGTCTATTTTTGTCATTTTCTACTCTTTCCAGCCGTTTCTGAAGCCTGGCGCCGGCAGAGGCTAAGAGAAGGACACAGTCACACAGGCCTCTGAAAAGTGTCGAGGTCACCCTGTGGCAGTTTGAAACAGACTATATTTCAAGCCATGGAAGTACACGGATACACCGATGAAATTCCTGTCATAGTTTCTCGGTGATACGGTATAAAGAAGGATTAGTTCTGGACAATTAAACCTACACCTGTCAAGGCCGCACCCAGTGTTTATGGAATTAACGTGAAATTGAGGATATCACAAATCTTAGTCATTGGACAAGGCCAACAGTTTAAAACATGACTTTGGTTGTTATAGGTAAGATGGAAGAATATTCTAATTGTTGTTCATTAAAATATGACTTTTGAACTTTCTAAACTTTTGAGGATCAGATGGTAGTCATCACGACTTTGTTGTGACACAATTTGTTGCCCAGCCTGAAGGAATAAGGACATTTGCTGAACATGATCTCTTTTGTCTCGGCTGAATTGTTGGCGGGAATTTCAATGACGATATTGGGAGGATCTAGGATATCAAACATGTCGCCTGTGGCGAGTCTTGTGTCTGTCCTTCGACACAGCACCTGGGTCTTAGCTATAACCCCGTTGACGTCATAACTGGGCTTTGTTTTAATCCAACAATTGCTTATATAGGATAAGGCGACACCATAGACAATGCATTCAACTAGAAAGATGTGATAAGCCTTTGGTTATCATCAAATGTGTGAGCCGACATGGTGTTATTACTTTGTGGACGCCGCGTCTTCACTAGCAACGAAGACTTTTGCGTGGATTTAAAGGAATAATATTCCATTTACTTTATATTCCATTTACTGTAGATGACAAAGATAATGGACTATGAAACTGCCAGTAACAATAGTGAAGTTACAATGTATGCACTTTGCAAATGAGCTGCTAGGTGTCGTTGTGATACCGCAAATAGCTCAGGCAACTTTGGAGATGACTTTGGAAGAGTCCAGTTTATCAAAGACTTAACTTTAATAAAGTGTTACAGAATACCATTGGATTATATTCATTAAGTAAACATTTTAACATCAGGTGTTATGTGTTAGTTTAACCAATCTGATAACGCCCTTTCGTTCCAATTTATGTGCCAGGACCCCCTTCACTACCATTGGTACGTTCCATCCCAACATGGCGGACACAACAGAACTTCGCACCGCCCACCGGTTCGATGTGGACCGTTTACACGCCCATCTCCTCAAATACGTGCCCGGTTTTCCTCAGCAAAAGGAACAACTAGTCGTCAGGCAGTTCAGGTAGAAATTTCAGCTTCCTACGCCCTTGTGTTGTGGAGAAACTTTACCGAGAAACCCTAGAACTGTATCGGACGACACTTTGGAGACGTATTTACAGTAGTGTGGAAAACTGCAGAAAAGTTTCTTTTTAAGGGAATTGCTATGCATTGCATTGTCTTTTATTACGAGGTGGATTGGAGGCGTATGTAGCCCTTTTATATATCTCACTACAGATGTTGCCTTAGTTGAGGAATAGTTTGTTACACATACTTTGTCACACACTGTTAGGGTCAGGTGAACTAAGGGTGAACTTTGTACTGAGGGACACCAGCTTTATTAACCTCTTGTCAATCTTATGAATGCTGTTTGCCAAAGTCTCTTGTGCAAAAGTACTTTTTCCTGTGCCCTATAAAAACTGCTAAGTTGCTCCAAATACCTCACAATGGATTTTCTTTCATTTCTTATGTATCATAATCAGATGATCAATTATCTTTTCTCCAATTTGATCTTTGTCGTTCATTTTTCTTCAGTTTTGGCCAGTCCAATCCAACATTCTACCTGCAGAAGGGACAGACAGAATATGTCATGAGGAAAAAACCACCAGGACGCCTCCTGAAGGGGGCACACATGGTACAGTCCATTTAGTGTATTTTATAGACTTTATTAGGTGTCATAAGATCTTTAATTTAAACGTGGCAGATGATAGCAAGCCTGGGTACTGTCCTGGTACCCAGGACACTGGTTCAAGTTCGCTACCCACCAACCAGTTGTCAGGTCCGGTAGTGACTATCAGAGCAGATCTACATGTACTAGTAATTACCAGGATGGTACCCAGGCTAGCATAATGATAGCCTGGTAACAGCTGAAAATGAAATTCTTGGCATTGCTACCAACATAAATGAAAACAAATGTATCTACAAATATCTCGACTTGTTTTAAGGTAGTCTTTCTTCTGTTGAAGGATGTTTGAAGTAAAATCCAAAATTGATGATATTCATGGCTCTGTTTATGTATCTGTTCATAGGAATTGAACAGTTTGCTTCCTCTAAACATGTCATTTTGAAAACTATATGTCTCTTTATCAATGTCTGCTGTTCTGTCCTGACATTTGCTTGTACAACTGTGTTCAGGTTGAGAGAGAGTACAGAATCATTGAGGCCCTCCACTCGGTGGGTTTCCCTGTGCCCTGCCCCATCCTCTTCTGTTCGGACACAAACGTCATTGGTACAGAGTTCTACATCATGGAGTATGTCAGGGTTAGTACATCTTACCTTTATTTTCATACATATTACACAGTCATAGATATATAATTTTCCACTAATACTAGCATACCAAATTTGTAGTTTTTCAGTGCAGCTGCATTAAGATTTAATGCAGCAAAAAAATCACTGCAGTTGTACATTTTGTAGTAGCCTAGGAGCAACTTAGCCACATTACAGTGCAGTCCTTCATTGCACTGCTAGAGCCCGCTTTTGATCCATGCACTTCACATTCATATCTTAGGGAAGAGTTTTCCGAGACGTGTCGTTAAGTGAGTTACCTGCTGAGGAGAGAACAGCGGTGTACAATGCCATGGCAGAGACACTGGCTCAACTCCACTCTGTGGACTGGAGAAAACTCCAGCTACAGGACTTTGGGAAGGAGGGAAACTACTGCAAGAGACAGGTAAGAAGACTGTCATGTTAAGGCTAGACAGACTAAATATCATGGAGGGCAGATGTAACTGAAATCTCAAATCACAAAAAATAAAACATGTTTTGTTACTTTTGTTACACGTGAGATATTTACAAGTTGTTTTAACAATTAGTCACACATTTTGTAGCCTGTTGTTTTAAATCTTCTGCATTTGCTAGTAAAAACAGTTGTTGACTTTTACAAATTGAAATCCATGCCTTCCAGCTGTCTACATGGACCAGACAGTACCATGCAGCAGCTACTGGTGACATCCCGGCAATGAACCAGCTCATCCAGTGGTTAAACCAGAACCTTCCTGCAGAGGACACTAAAACTACCATCGTACACGGTGACTACAAACTGGACAACATGGTCTTCCACCCCACTCAGGTAAGGCTCACTTTCCAGGGCTCAAAATATTACCTGCATATGCAGGATAGTGCAGGTAAAATTGGCACTGTGCAGGTACTGTATTTCTGATGTCTACTTGCACCTAACCTGCACTGGTCCATGTACTGGGTATTATGTTGGTGGTTGTATATATGATATACAGATAATGCAAAGGGTTTCCGTAATTTTTTAGCAGTGAAACTTGTTGTATGTGTTTCCCCCAGCCTCGAGTGATTGCAGTGCTGGACTGGGAACTGTGTACCCTGGGAGACCCCCTGACAGACTTGGCCTATCTCTGTCAGCCTTACAACTGGCCTGAAGATCTACCTCTTATGAACATGGCACAGCCTTCAGCAAATGGTAGGAACTTCCCTTCATTCTTAGATACAGAAGTAATTATCAACCACTACGAAAACATGAAATCCTAGACTTAGACTTATGAAACTTGCTCTCTCTGTTCCACACCAGTTGACCCCATAGCCACAGTGGCAGGCATCCCCAGTCAGGACCAGTTTTTACAGAGGTACTGCAGCGCTAGGGGGCTCCCTTCCCGACCTGACAACTGGGAGTTTTACCTGGCTCTGTCCTTCTTCAAGGCAGCCTCCATTTGCCAGGTATGTTTGTGTAGGCCACACAAAATGGACTACTTGTATGTGGAGGACTTCTGCATATGCATTCATTTTTACATGTTTTTAAGAGACATTTTTGTGTGACTTTGGTGTGTCAGCCTCCAATGAAAAATATTCAACATTTGATCATCAAATGTACCTACAATTGTTGTATGGTCAGGATATAGTATCATAAGAGATCTGTAATAGTGTAATAAATCCAGACCCTGATTGTCCTGGAGATGAGCAGTCCTGTAGTGACAGTGCCTGTTCCACACACCAGGGTGTGTATGCCCGGGCCTTACAGGGAAATGCCAGCTCTGCTATGGCACATCAAGTCGGTGTTCTTGTTGAACCTCGGGCTAAAACTGGACTTAACATTGCACTGAGGTCAGTTGTATCAATGATTACATGTACGTTTTGCCACACTAATTAATTTCCTTGTGTAATGGATTTTTAGCCCAAGATTTCCAGTCTCTGAGTTTGCATGTTCCAAATTGAAGATACAGATAGACTTTCTTCTCAGGCTAGATTTTTGTTTCACTGTTCTACGACACTGTAATAAGCACCATTATCAAAAATGTAAGAGACATGGAAATAAATTTGTGTGGCATACCTGCACAACATAGTTTGTTTTACTCCATGCTGCCTTGAACTGTAATCTCCAAAACTGGTTAGCTCTGTTCTGTGTTGTGTTGTTCTTATAATGTTTTGGTAGAAGAAATTTGACAAACAATATCTACACAACCACTTGTTATTCAAGGTTTCAAGGGGCTTTGGACTTAAGACAAACTCAATTGTGCATTTATATTATCTTACTAATGTACTAGTATGTAGGACACCTTTCAGTGCACATTATACAAAATGTATGCCCTATGGTTGTAGAGTATCTAACTGAATAAAAAACTCTTTGTAGCGATTTTAAGAATGGACAGAAAACTTGACTACAACAACTTGCAAATCATTCACATATAGGGGGGCCTGCAAGCCCTTTTGCGTAGAGTGTATTCGGCGTTTTAATTCTACGTAATGCATTGTAGCCACATGGAATTTATCGTAAAGCGTAATCGAGAGGTTTCCAAATTCAGCGTAGAGCATTGTCGGGACCCCCCCCCCTCCCTTGCAGGGCCTCATAGCTTGTCCTAATAAAAGCAGGTTGCAGTTCTTAGGCAGACAGAAAGGGGGCGTTTGACTACCAGCTCAACCACTGGTCAAAGGTTAGCTTGGGATAAAGTTTACCGTGTCATAGGTCAATGCCCTATGTAGATGACATTGTATTCTTGCTGTCTAAAGTCCAAACTGGGTGTGAAACGCTAGTCTAACCTGTGTAAGGACAGCAGTGCTTCAGGTCAGTATTTTAGTCAGTCTCATCAAACCAAATGCAAAAGTAAGTTGTGCAGAGATTCTCTGATTTCAGTTAATCAAATTATGTAAAATGGCTGTCAAGTGATCCAAACATAGTTTTGGAAACAATATACATTTTGTAGGTACATGTATGTATAGGAAAGGGATCAATGCAAGAAGTTTTGCTGTGGTTTTGCCTTTAATTGCTGCAGTAATTGTAATTTTAAGTGTCCTCTATACATCTTGCAAAGTGTACACTGAAAGGTGCCCTACATGTATGTCAAGATTTTATGCCTGTTGCAAGTCCCCTCTTTTCCCCATCCCATTCCAGGGCGTGTATAAGAGAGCTTTGCAGGGTAACGCTAGTGCAGCACAGGCTGAAGTATTCGGACATATAGTGGAGCCATTGGCTGGTGCAGGAGTCAAAGTTATAGAACGGTGAGGACTCCAGTCCATTTTTGCTTCAATACCAAGAAGAGTGTTTCTTCAAGAATAGACCAAAAGGGCCCTTGGATTGGAAATGGGTTGAAAAGAGGCGGAACTGCAACTGAAGTATGACGGAAAATAGGTTTTGCATGAATAATGTAAAAAAAAATTAATACAAATCAGACGAACTTGCTTTAACTTTCAAAGAGTTGACTTTGATTATGTTACACTTATGTATACTTTCATGTAGATTCCTATCCTTTCTTCAGTGCTCTCTGGTCTTATAACCCTTTATAATTATATTGACTGTAAATAAATGATAATGATAGCAATGAAAATAGATGAAAGACCACCTGTTAATGTAACCCTCCTGAATCATTGAATGTCTGGTTGTGTGTGCTGCACCCATCAGGAAGATGTCAGTCTCAGCCCAGGCAGGCTCCCTGCTCCAGCCTTCACCTAAAGGCCTGGAGCTCAGGAACAGGGTCAGGGCCTTCCTGGAGCAACATGTGGCACCTGCGTTTAAGGTAGGTACATGTACATGTGTGACTTCATGTAGCAGTAAAGTAATTGCTGTTGTAGCAGTAGAATTATTTATCATAGCATTAGAATCTTGAAAGATAGATTCAGTTAGGTATAAATTACGAATACAATGTACTTAATATTAACTTTTGAAAGTCTCCCTTTATCTTCTTCTCTCTTCTTATGCTCTCTCTCTCTCTCTCTCTGTTGCCCTCTTTCTGTCTTTTTGTGTAACACACAGAGCAGAAAACAGGCAAAGATTTAACAGTTGTTTTATTTTCTGTCAGACTTTGCAAGAACAAGTTGACAAGGATAGATGGGCCGCCCCTCCCATTGTGGATGAAATACGGGTAAGTTCTTCAGACTTCCTTATGAATAGTCAGCCTCACACCATAATTGGTTACTGGATGTTACCGTAAGTCAGGTTTTTCAGATTGGAAATGTGTATAATTTTGCAGGCTAAAGCGAAAGCTGCTGGTCTGTGGAACCTGTTCTTACCGGATGTGAGCGGACTCAGCCAGTTGGACTATGCCTTCATAGCGGAGGAGACAGGCAGATACATGCCACTGGGACCAGAAGCCTTCAACTGCCAGGCCCCAGGTTGGACATCCTTGTTTACTTGTTTATTGTTGTTGTGTAGGCCAAAGCCAAGGTGGAAGGGTTGTGGAACTTGTTCTTGCCGTCGGTAAGCGGGCTGAGCCAGTTGGATTATGCGTATGTGGCAGAAGAAATGGGACGGTTTCACAAAATAGGGTCTGCGGCTTTCAATTGCAGTGCACCAGGTTGGTGGGACTCATGGGGATTCATTGAATAAAACAAGCAAGAAAACTAATTCCACTCTTTTATTGAAATCCTAAGCCAGTAAAGAAGCAGAATATGATCCTTACTTTTCAAAATGTTTGAAATGAGAACCTGACTTTACACTTTGCAGTAGATTATCTAATTCAGTAAAATAGAATATGAAAGTTGAGTACTACTCATTGCTGTTGTTTATGTCCCCAGATACAGGCAACATGGAGACTATCCACCTGTACGGCTCCCCTCAGCAGAAGAAGACGTGGTTAGAACCACTGCTGGAAGGGAAGATTAAGTCCTGCTTCGCCATGACAGGTCAGATCATCCACATAGTCACGGTTGAATACTGAAGGATTCAGGGGGAAATTTGCCCTGTAACCTAAAACCAGACCAGAAACCATCAAACTCAAAGGGCACTATTTTTCACCCGCTGTTCCAAATCAAGTCAATAGATGGCACTTTTGATACATGTCTAAAGACCTTCCTGCTCAAGAAATTCACTGACTTTAATCCAGACTTGTTTCATGGAGCGAGAATTGAAAGCCATCAATAACGTTAAGCAACTTATCCAACTTATTATATTATATAAGTCCAAATTTGTTGTTACAGATACTACCATGGTTCAGTTTTGTGGAGAAGTTTAGTTCTAAAATCTTAACTATTTTGTACATTACAGAGCCTGATGTGGCCTCCAGTGATGCTACCAACATGCAGTGTAGCATTGTGAGGGAAGGGAATGAGTATGTGATCAATGGGAAGAAGTGGTGGACCAGTGGGGCAGGCCATCCTCTCTGTAAGGTGGCTGTACTCATGGGCAGGACAGGGGACAGCAAAATGCCAAGGTAGGCCTTTATTTGCTTTTTTCTACATCATCTTTACTCTCAGTAACAGACAGAGCAGTGGCAGTGTGCTAATGACATGTCTTCTCTAATGGTAACAGCTTTTTTGTACGGAGTTTGATTCCTTGTTAGATCTGTAAAAACAGTTGGATATGATTCCAGTAATGGAATTGTTTTCTTGATCATGACATTCTTAGACATTCCATTCTGGCTGACCATAAATTTTTAGGTCCTGCTATAAAAATGATGAATGTAGGAAAAGCTATGTACATGTATATGCTGCGATACTACTTAGCATTAATTTTGATGTACCCTTCTGTGATGTAATGTTTATATGGGTTTGTATCGTGTTCTCCAGACACAGACAGCACAGTATGATCCTGGTGCCCATGGATGCGCCGGGAGTGAAGATTGTCCGTGCGCTGACGGTGTTCGGGTACGATGACGCCCCTCATGGTCACTGTGAGGTCCACTTCACCAACGTCCGCGTTCCTGTCTCCAACATGCTGCTGGGAGAGGGGAGGGGGTTTGAGATCGCCCAGGTATGTACGGATCAAAAGTACATAGCTATATTACCGTATAACATGTATACAATTGATTGCCATGATGTCATGCCCAGCAAGTGGTAGGAAAAAAGCAGGTGGTTTTTTGCTTATCAATAATTTGCATATGTCTTCAAATGATTTGTATGTGATGATGTATATTATGTAACTAATAACTTTGATTGCTCATATGCTGCAATTTCACATTTTACATCATGCCAGCTTATTTCTTGACAGATATGTGAAATCATCACTATGAGACATTTTGTGGTACTTTCACAAAAGAGTAGAAACACATGTGTAACACTTAACTGAATTGGATGGTTCAACTTAAGAATATAGGTCGACTGTGTTTCTGTAACTTCTTCATCAAGTACAGTATTTCTCAAAGCCAGCCAAATTTTCAGGTCTATATATTTAAGACTGTGCTTATGGATACTTGGTATGTTTAGATACAGTTTCATTTGAATTATGGAAGGAAGACTATACAGTGTACCAAACTGCTAGATAATTTATTACTGTAATATAAAGGAAGGACCAAAGTTCAAGCCAAAGACTAATTTGAACAAAGTAAATTTAACTGTCTCATTTCTGTGTACTTACACATAATAGACTTCATGTGGCTGAAAGTTAGAAATTTACGTATGAACCTTACTCACAGGACAATGTGAAATGAACTTTTGAGTTATCATATGAAGGTTTAATGGGTATCAGATGGTGACAAATTTGTAAATTTATGTATGGGTATGAGTTAGAAGGGCTTGATCATGGGTAGGTGATAAATTATTGTTGTTGGCCTTGGACCATGTAGGCAAAAGGTATCAGCTCAACATATAAATTTATGATGGGTGCAGTGGCAGTGCACATGTAACTGTCATTATGTTACCTTTTTGAAACATTGCTCAGGTGCATTGGTTGTTTGGGGCACATTGATATAGATAAAGTTCTTCATTGCATCAGATCTTCATAGATATACATATATGACCTCTACAAAGCATGCAATTCTTCCAGGAGTCCTTTTCACAAGTCAAAAACAAAACATGCACACAAGTCTTGTAAAAGATACAAGACTTGTTATTGCTGTATGCATGTTTTGTTTTTGATTGCTGGAAGAAGTGCAATGTACATCAATATTATAATAGCAATGAAAACAAACAAACACACATATGGCCCTACAGGGAAGACTGGGCCCGGGACGGATCCACCATTGCATGCGGCTGATCGGTATGGCAGAGAAGGCGCTGGAAGCAATGTGTGAGAGGGCTGCCAAGAGAAGGCCCTTCGGTAAGAGGATCATTGAACAGGTGCGTAATGTAATGACTTGATCTGATGTTGATGTAACCACTATTGTTTGCTGCTGTCCCTTGGCCACACTTGGCTCTAGTGGATCCCTCTCCACCGAATCTCTGTCCCATTACTGGCTGGCTCAACTGTTGGCTTTCATTACCAAGTTATTTTCTACCAGTCCGTATTGTCTTATCTGATTATGTCCAACCCACAGTCACTTGAGATATATCCGTAGACCTTAAGGCCTTAGTTTTTATATGTGTTAAACACTTGCTTGTGCTTTCACACCAGAATGGAAAATAGCCCTTGTTTTATGTGCCCAGAAATCCATGTTGACAAACTCCTAGTTCTGTTCTGTGTCTCCTGCAAAGGATGAAGCTATTGCAGGGAATCTTACCTGATATCCTATATGTAATGAGAAGAAAAGCACATGACTGTTTCCCTTTCCCTGTCTGTATGTATCCTACAGGAGGTTGTACAGCATGACATTGCTGAGGCCCGCATGGCGATAGAGCAGGCCAGGCTTTTGGTGCTGAAGGCTGCTCACATGATCGACACTGTGGGCACCAAGAAGGCTCGCAAGGAAGTAAGCACTCTGTGTGTGTGTGTTTGTCTGGGTGTGTCAATGTCTGTTTGTGCATGATGTGTGTGTGTGTGTGTGTGTGTGTGTGTGTGTGTGTGTGTGTGGTGTGTCTAGATCTGTGTGTAAGTTTGTGTATTGCAAACAGTGTGAATTTCTGAAATCCAAACTGGGATGCACAAGTACACATGTGTGTACAGGTGAGTTAGGAGAGAGGGAAAAAATGTTATCATCAGAGTGAAGTGAAATCTACCTCTTACCTGTCTCTTTCATTCTTGTCTACTCAGTCAACTTTTGACCTCATTTTGGAGTTAAGAAATAAATCATTGTCTTCAGAAATGGAAACAACAAAGATATAGGATGCAGATGGGGACCCCATATAAACTTGAAGTTGACACTACTTAGTACTTAAGTCAAAGAGGATCAGAATCACAGAGGTGGTTTATGAAAGTCAAGTCCAGAAGCCACCCTCTGATCTTACTGCTATATTTAGCATGCAAGCTAATCTCTATTGAAGTATCACTGTCACAAGTATGCTCCAATGTGGTTCTGTTTTGAACAGCCCTACTCCTAGGTCACAAGGTGGGGTGAGTCTGGGCTATTAGGATTCAAATAGAACTGTCAGCCAATTCTGGGGTCATGACACAATGAATCTGCCATACCAGATTAAGGATGGATTGTGTCCTAATCTCTGGGATCTGTTCTAGACCTACTTAAAGGAATGGGCTACAAAAAGTTAACGGGATTCAAGGTCCAGACATCACATTATAACATATAATAATGAGCATACATTGGGAAAAATAACCTGTTTACATCAAGGAGTGGCTTTACAACACCTAACCATTCACACCCAATGATTCTGTGTGAGGCTGTGAAGTGTCAGGTGTAAGAAGGGGAGGCAAAGTCCACATCAAAGTGCACTGTTAGAAGCTGGTGTCCTGAGTGAGGAGTTAAAGCTGTCAGCTGCACCTGATCTGTTGTGTCAACTTCTAATTCACACAGACACTAGCTGGCTAAAGGGGAAATCTAATTAACTTTGTTGCTTGCATTTCAACTTGTTTGAAGGGTACTAGTAACTCTGTACATGTATTCTGATATGCTTTTTCTTGCCATCACGTTTCTACTTAAAGATATGTTTCCCTTTATCCTTAACTAAGTCCCCAATGTCTTTTCAAATCTGAAGGGACCTGATTGTTACATGTAGAAGACAGGTACATTGTATACCCTTTATCTTTTAGGGTTGGTTTGCAATATGTGAATACTTGCACTTCAGCCTTTGGTTGCTGAGATAGCATCTGGTCATCCACATGTGATAAAGAGGGCAAGTGTGAGAAAATAGATAATTTTGTAGCATTAAGAAGTGTTACTTTTAGCCTGTCCTCTACTGCTTCTTCTGTTTTAAATAAAATAGCTCACGTGGCGTCGCTATTCCCCAAAAGATTATAAATAAGTCACACATTTGCACCACAGTAGGGCTCTGCACTCCCCATGTCCATGTCTAAGCTTGTCCCTCGATCAATTCCTCAAATGTTCAGAAAGACTGGGCCAAGTGAATCTGCAATCATAACCACATTTTCCCAGCAGTCCCCCAGCCATGCTCAAAGCTGCGGTGAGTGGTCTTGCTGTGAGAACAGCTGATGTTGCACTTCAGTTTGTCTAACATTTGAACCTGCACGTGGGAGTTGTTTCGAGGGAGGCTGTGGACATGTAATTTAATTCTTGATAAGGATGACTCTCCTATATGAACTTATAGGCTGTGTACATCATTTCATATCGGGCATGACTTTACTTGCCCACAACATCTTGGTAAGTCCTCAGTTACCTTCCTCAGAGCCTGAGTGAACTTGACTACTGGTACTTCTTTCTGCAAGTTGCAACCCAAAACATGACTAAGTCTACATATACCCCCCCACTACAGTTATTGTAATCAGACAAAGGGTCAGATTTCAAAAAACTGGTGCTGTTGATGGTCCAGAAAATTAATATCATGATAACCCTTCACATGACTGTACCTCTAGCAGAGAAGGTACCTGTCTTTTTGCCAGTTTCTGTCAAAAAGAGTTCAGTCAATGTTCAACTTCAAACCCTGCCTGTGACGTTTATACAGGTGTTGGTTTGCAAACAGAATAACACATTTGTCACTTAATGACATTTCTTTGTCAGCTTGCCCTATGTTGAAATAAAAACTCGGGTGGCCAAAAATGTGAGGGAATTAATACACTGCTGAGATCCTGCTATGGAGTCTACCACTTGCTGTCCTCAAATTACCTCAGGTTAGCTGGATCTTCTCAACTCTTCTTTTGTTGCTTCCATAAACAAGGTTGGTTGGTTAGTTGGTTGGTTGGTTAAGTAGTTAGTGAACAGGTTAGGTCACCAATTATGTTTTAGTTTTCATTCTGTTTTCATGGAAAGAAGAGACCAGATTCAGGCCAAGACCGTCAAGCAGAATGTTTCTTTAGATCTTTTTTCCATTTTTCCATTTTCCAAAATACCGATACGTCACGTCACTACCTCAATCAACTTCTTCCCAATCCACGATCGACTTGCTTTAAGTTAGTGAATTCCAGCATCAAATTGAGGGAACTATTCATTATACCTATTGTAATGCTCTACTGATATCTTAAATTCAATTTCCTTTCTTGTTTTTTCCAGATTGCCATGATCAAAATCATCGCTCCCAGAATGGCAGTGCGAGTTATCGACCGTGCCATCCAGGTCCATGGGGGTGGAGGGGTGAGTCAGGATTTTTTCCTGGCGGGAATGTACGCGGGCGCTCGTTCCATTCAGATCGCCGACGGCCCTGACGAGGTGCACCTGACCGCTGTGGCAAAAATGGAGATCTTGGATCAGCTGAAAAAGGCCAAGATGTGAGCTCTATCTGAGAGGTCACAGAGTTTAGGAGAGAAGCAAGCCAAGCTGTAAAATCCCAATAATTTCCTATTGTTGTATCAACTATTACAGTATTTTGAGCCAATTGTAAAGCTTAATACTAGGCTTGAGTAGTAACTAAATGCAATATACATGTGTTATAGTTTATATCAAGAATCATCATCATCTGGTCAAGGTTTTCTTGTCCAATACACTATCAATGTCAGGAAGAGAGCAAAAATTGTTGAATTTCTTGCAAAAAGCTATGGCATTCACAAATTTTATTAGGCTGTAAAATTGACAGATTGGGTGCTATTGTTCAATGATTGGCTATAGTCATCAATAATGACAATGATGATAGGTAATTCAATGTTATCTCATTTAACCAACTTGGAGTGGGAAATTGTTGCCTTGAATTATAGCACATTCTGTATTTCAAATGCATTGTGAGGAAAGCTTTACATTACATAGAGCAAATATATTTGTCATTTAATGACGTTTCGTTTGTTTCTCTGATACAAGAAAGAAGCTTAAAATCAGGTGGATCAAACTAATCCTTCAGTTTAAAGGGATATTAATGATCTGTAACATCTTCACAGGTAGAGAAGGGGATCATCTATAAATGGATATTTGTAATGCAGGTATATCTGATATACATGTTCATGCGCATACAATTTATAAATATGTATAGATTTGTACAAATTCTTCAAACAAAATCATGTACTGAATAAAACTGCCGCACGTACATCACATACGCTATGAGCTGTTTTGTACACACACAGGGGCAGCTATGTAGTACTTTTATTGAGACTACTGCCGATTGTTGTGGAACATGTTATGTAACCTAATGAGACACGGCACGCCAAACGTTTAAGTGGTGGATCTGGGTTTCATTATGGTTTGACCTCATGTTTACACTATAGTAAAGATCTTACGTAAGAGTTAAATTGCACTGACCTTATAAAGATGCCTTTATCCTTGAGATGCTTAAAGGAAGACGTTATTTGGTTTGTCCTTTAGGTACCAGACGGGGAATTTCGCTTGGATCTTGCGAGCGAGGACAACCACCAACTAGATAGTTTTGTGATAGAACTTTTAAGGGCAAGTTAGTTCGTTTTAGGATTGCGACAATCATCACAAAATCGTTTTTGGTAGTCAAACAGTGACAAAGTGATCTGTGTCAGAAAAGGATTTCTACTATACAGCTACCAGGTCATCAGATACTGACTGAAAATCCAACATCAACATATTCAATGGCTAGCGCGCGCTACTTCACCCAACTGACAGAGTAACTTAAATGGTCATTCCTTGCTGTTAACGCATATGTGATGACTATTGGGCCAGAAAATAGATCCACATTGCTTGCGAACGATATTTGTCTCTGCGCATTTACCAGTGTCAACCCATGTCCCTCTACTACAATGTACACCCCATCAGACAACTGTTACTAAGTGAATACTGTATTATCGTGTCCTGGTGGAATTCCTGGCTCCCCATGCCCTCAGTGGCAGCCCGTATCCTGCCTTTTGTCCGGGAGGTAATTTCACAGCTCCGTACGTCTTCTTTCACCCTGCCGCCACAGGAGGACGGGGACAAGTACCGGTTTTCCCACTGACCTTCCCAGGTGTTCATGTAGAGCAGGGCAGCGGAGAGAAATGTTCTGCACTCTGGTCATCACTCTTCATGGCTGTACCCCCATGCCCTGCACATTAGTCTCCATCAGGCTCCTTAGGTGGTGAAAATGTAGATGAAAATTGGTCAGTTTCATGCAGGGTGAATGATTTGGCAGGAACAACAGGAGTTGCCAGTCTATGGCCCGGGCTGACCCTTCTGGCATATCATCATTTGTCCTTTTTCGACCATCTAGCAGCCAGAAGAGTCTGATAGAGACTAATGTTCACGTCAACGGAAGTCAATTGATCACATAGCTGTTGCTCGTCGTCTGGAGCAATGCGGACCATTAAGTTTTTGTTGGAATAGGTTTGGGGTTAGTGTAAGCCATATAGAATTTCGAAGAATATGCTGCCAGTTAGCGACCAATATCACTTGACGTTGACTCCATATGTACAGACGTTTCCGTATTTTGATGACATGGATTTTCCCACGCGCTTCAGCTGCGCGTATAGCGTTCTCCCCTGGGCCTGGCTTCTGCCCTCGGTCATGGCCGCTAATGCCAGGGTGGGGAAGGAAGGCCTTGGGCCAATGGTGGGTTCCATGCATGTATTAAATCTCCAAGCAGATCTTCGGGGGGCAAAGTCGTAACGTTTTCTGACTGGCCCCCAAAGGCTGCCATGAGTAGTCTGTTTGGAGAGCTAGAGGTCAAGGCCACAGAATATCATGAAAATCTTAGTGTAGCTTTCAATGTCGTCTTGTTTGTCTCGGAACATTATTCAAGACATGGCTTCATCTTCAAGAATAATTAGTGTGCTTAGTAGTAATATGTATTACCTGATAGCATCTAAAGCCAAAATGTGAGTCATCCAGCTTGTACCAAGTACAGAACTGGTGAGGTAGAGCGGCTCTGTTGATGCGATTAAAGATCAAATACAGATTCACTTGTTCAATCTTCTGGGTGATTTACGGTCTCTAATTCTTCCTCCTGGCTCGTCTTACATCAGAACATCGTAACCTTGGCGTGAGGTCAACAGCGTACGTCACGTTACGGCGAACTTAAGTTGCGGAAAATTGCCATGTATGACCCTCATCTGAAACAGGTGCTCGATTGTTACATTGGTCTCTGTTATGGGCTGGTCTGGTCCAGTTTATCGCACACTTTGTACTATCAGAGGACACCATGAAACGGTGGGATATATTGGCCATGGTGTATCATGTAAAGGTTAACATGTTTGTACCGTGCAATATATGAAGTCGGTCGTATATCCCCAACTGGTCTTAGTGGTCCTTAAGACTTCTGTCAAGTGTATAAGTGTACTGTGTTCCTCAGACATTATGTTTATGTACTCAAGACCATTTTTCGTTCTCTCTGTTGCAATGGGAGTTATGCAATAAGATAAACGCACCCTTTGACTGCACCGCTTCCTAAAGACAATATCACGCCTGGGGAACCCAAACTTCAAGTCCAACCATGTAAAATCCATTTGTACTGTAATAGGTCCATTTCATGGCGCTTACGCCCCACCTGCTGTTGGTGTTCATGTACTGTCTCTGTACACAGAGGCGTCTCTCCTCAACATTACCATATCCTCTTTTTACCCCCTGCATAGGTTAGTAGTAGTAGTAGTAGTAGTAGTAGTAGTAGTAGTAGTTCTCAGCTCCTAGTTCACCAAATAGCACTTGTGTTAAGTTAATCTTGGCCTAAAGCCCAGTCTTAGCAGTCCTCCTCAGACGGTCTCTCATATACTCAACAGACAGCCGACTGTTCGGGACACAGACTAGTGATATAAGGAGTTAAGGACAGAGATCATCGACATCACAGAACGGCAAGCACCGAATTTGTCTTCATGTAGTAAATTAGTGCGCCACGTCCGAAGGGTGATGGTGGAATTGGTGGGCGTGCGTGCCGTCTGGTTTGTGATATCTGCCTAAGTAGGAACAGGTGCGAACTTTGGATGTCGGCGGAGTGAAGACCACTTATGGACGTGGCCATGACGGCGTGATTGGCGGCCGTGGTAGTCATGACGACATGATGATTGACAGGATTGTCTGACGTTAGGGGTTTCCATGACGACATGATTGACAGGATCATGGCATGTTCGATGAAACCATGGCGACATGATTAACAGGGTAACGGGTTTCCATGACAATATGATTGACAGGATTGTTTGACCTTTCGGGTGATCATGTATGACGACATGATTGACAGGATCGTCGGATGTTCGTTGTTAACCATGACGTCATGATTGACAGGTTAATTGGACGTTCAGGGTGGAGGCGGTCCATGGTTGACACTCGTGGCAGATAGTCGCCATCACTGAATATCCCAGGACTCAGATTGATTAATGCAATCAAGCTTGGGACGAGCCAGATTTTGGACAGTAGTCCACTCTGAAACTGATGGCCAGAGTAGACGAAGTTGGTCATTTGTGTGGATGAGTAATCTTTAACAGGTTGGTTTTAGGTCTGAGTGCGACATCGAAAGGTTATTTCATGCACTTTTGCTACCTTTGATGAACAACTGAGACTGAAGACGAAGACTTCTCTCGCCGTAGATTGACAGGTGACAACCAACCCGGACCTTTCATGACTTGCCAAGACCGCTTGTACACTGCCCAGTGCGGTTTCAGGTGTACAAGTGTCAGGGTGGTTGACCGACTATAAGACATTGCCTTGGGTCAATGAACTTGCCAATGTCCTCAACTAACCCGTTATGAATAGCGGACAGTAGCTGTGCTATGGTTATGTACTTTCAAGGTAGAAACCACAGCGCTAAGAAGTGCGTGTATGTGCACATGCTGCCTGGCATGCCTGGTGCATACCGTGACAGTCTTTTCACACATTTGCAGCTACTGAGCTACTGGTACTGGTACTGGTACTGTTGGCCTGACCTCTTCCAACTTCTTCATCACTACAGTGGTATGTAAAAGGTGAATGACCTCAGATGGTTTGGCTAAAGATAAGAACATCCAGTATATTTTTCAAAGCCATTCAAAAAACAAACAAACTAAAAGCTGTTTTTATTATTGAGATTAAAAGCACCGTCCGAAAATTGGACACGAAATATTTCGATGGACTCCAGTATCGGGGTACTGACCTGCTTACTACCCGCTGAGTTAGGAAAACATACAACGTAAAACAAAGAAAATAAACTACGGGAGACTCATTGGGTTAATCAACTCCATAAGCTTATGTGACAAACTCTGTTCATCCTTATCTTGTGGCGTCTTTGAAGACAAGGCTAGATGTACATACATCTGTCTCACATTCGCAACATACAGATAGCGGTTTTGGCACTTTACAGTCCATGCAAACTGTTCAATGTATTGCTTTTGGGTAGTCTCACTGGATTATGAAGTACAGTAAGCGTTTGGTACTGACCTGATTTTTCAATACTCCACGGAGCATACAGGAATCCACCTTTGGTATCTTTGGAGTTGACAGTTACGTTGAGCTGCATTTTAGAGAAATAGAACGGAGCTTAGATGAACGAAAGCACAGAACTAACAATAATCAAAGTGCCAGCTCTTTCTACAAGTGTCATTCTGGCTTTCTAGATATGCCAAAGCTACGAGCGCCGCTACCGTAGCACCTGACATAGGCTGTGACCATGTGAAGTACCTACGTGATCTGATGAGTTACTGTGGCAATCGGACGGCACCCTGCGCCGGTGCGTGCGAACTGGTACCAGATGAGTTCAAGAGCGCTCTCCTCACGATCAGCGTGAAGTAACCCGCTTCTGACACAGGAAAACACAACTACAAAGCTGATGAGCGCGTCTTCAGACAGCTGGGAAGGAAAGGGGTTAGGAGGTCAACACCTCGTACACTTACTGTAGCCGTCTTGCTGAGATGTTTGACAAGAGTCTGATGCAACGTGGTCGACAAGACCTAGGTACAGTTCACAGTATACAGCAAATGGGCAGTTTATTCAACTCATTCCACTCATCGAGTTCATACTATTTCACGTGCTTTACACATCTATGAAGGAAAAGTTCATGGCAATGAACATCATTTTTCATCATATTGCAGATATCAAAGTCGACAATGATTAATTTGGAGGTGCAGATTATTAGGTATAGAAAACTTGCTGTACATTTTGTACTGCCGGCCTGTAGCTCAGTCTCAGAACCTTGC